TAAGTTACATAAGCAAGAAGAATAATGAAAATTAAATCGCGATTGTTAAAACAAGAGTGTAATTCAAATGACAATACATACCTGGAAGACTGGGAAGATGGAACAACCAAAAATCGATGGAAAGTTGATACTCCTTAGCCACACATCCGGTAAGCGAAATACGAAAACACTCGTATAAATCAAGTTACCCATTTGCTACCGATCCAGCTCTAGTCGAGGGAAACGATTCTGACCTGCATCGACGCCAACTAAATTTTGCCCTTTCCTGTTCTCTTCTTTACTTTTCCCTTTGTTCTTTTTTACATTTTATTCACTCCATATATCTATTCTAATTCCGGTGTTTTTCTTATGTATGTACCTATTCTTTCCACTCTCTCTTTCTCCTTTTCATACTTTCATTCGTGTACATACAATCGCTGTACGAATTTCTGACAATGCACTTTTAAATTACAAAAAGCGTAACAGTAAAATGTACTCTTTTCATTATTATCATTGCTGTCTAAGTTCACAGTTGAATTATTATTTCAGCGGAAATTAATTCGCGATTGCTCATTTTTTTATTAATTAAAAATTAATTTTTATAATTTTTTTTTTTCTTGGTAGAGAGTTACAGAATCGAGGAAGCTTTTATACACTACTATAAGCATCAAGAACATGAGCTTAAAAAGCATATATAATCAACTCTTCAATCATGGTTTAATTTACCGAGCAGCAAAATTGTCCGCAGGTATGATGTCCTTTGATGTTGTTTCATCCGTCTGTACATTCCATGACTTTTTTACCGTCTGGCAAATTAACCTAAGGCTGTTCTTTAACACACAAAACTACATAACAGTTTATAGGTATGTAAATTTCAATTCACTACAGTCAGTTCCATATATTTATATTGAATCTGCAAATATATAAATATTATGGCTGTAATATAAATATATAAACGTCCGGGTAGAAAAAAAAATATACGGCAAATTTTAAACGGTAAATCTTGGTAAATAAATTCTTACGGGAATTTATTGTACACGAGTAATAAAGAATAAAATCTGAAAAGTGGAGACAGAGAGAAAAAGAGAAAAGAGAGGGAAATTTGGCATGGATATCAAATAAAATAATAAAGATTTATTTACCAACTCTTTGGTAATGTTAATTTTATTTAAATATTTTTTATAAACTTTTTAGTGAGTAAATAATGTTATACGAGCTTCATAAAGTCCAAGTAAAAACTCGTTAAACTTGAAATGCATTCCATAACAGAATCCACCGCGTCAGTCTCTTGAACTCGATATAACGATATAGTGATAGCCAGGAAACCTAATACCTAAACTATATATTTGCTCTCCCGGGTAATCTTAATTTTCCTCAAGTATATTTCAACCCTCATCTCTCATAATATATATAATATAATATAATATAATATAATATAACATCACGTGTATGTCCTGTGGATTCTCCCTGTATAGCAAATGACGAGAAGCTACATCGTCGCGAGCTGTAGTAATATATACAGCAGCAGCAGCAGCAGCAGCAGCAGCAACAACACTCCGTCATAGATAATTCCCTGATGGCTAGTTTAAAATTTCATTTTTGATTATTCCCCGGAGGGTTTGACCAACACTAGACGCCGCGCAATCAAACGCCTAATTACTAATAAACTTTCTCAGTTCTAGGTGTTTAGTTGGTATACTAATGTGCTCTCCAACTCCAAATGAAATATGTATTAAATTGAAACACTTGAGAAGTACATATTTGGTTCGTCAATAGAGTACTATACCAAGTGAGCAATTTTTCACATCTCTCTTCTACCACTTAGTAGATTCATATGGATAAGTGCTCTCGAAAAAAATAATTGTCTAAAAAAATAGTATAAAAAAAAAAAAAAAGGAAAAGTAAAAATAAGGGTAGATCGAAATATCTCTGAATGCGCGCAGAGAAACGCAAAAGTTCGTACAAGGGGTTCATGTTATATGTGTATTATGTGCTATTGTACATGTAAATGTATATAGATGTACTGAGTACTCTGATATCTATATATATATACACGTCTATGTATATTTTATCTGTACATGGGGAAGCGAATTCGCATGCGCAGCGCAAAAGTGGACCCAGAGGGGTTGTGAGGGATGGAATTTACTGGATTGAGGCTTCGGATACAGAAAATGTATAGAGTCGGTGTATTTCACATCACGAGGGCGGTTGTTTTCTCGATTTCATCCCCTGCAGTATGAACATCGTTGATCATTTTATTTATTTTTATTTTATTTAAATTTACGGTGTGGCTACCGTTTTTTTTTTTTTTTCAACACATTCAATTCATCAGTGACTCCCACCGAAATTTCGTTATTTTAATCCCGTTTGTACACTCGGTATCGTTTTAAATAATTAATACAACTAACGAGTTTAATTTCGTAGAGGGTAAAGTGTAAATAATGATTATAATTATTATTGAGTGATTGATACGAACAAACAAGTATAATATAATTAAAATATTAATTGATGGGGGATTTTTATTTGCTATTTCAGTGAAGTGACTCGTGTTTTTATTAATACCAGTTATTATTTTATTTAAATTATTTTTAAATTAATGCCCAGACAGTAGTAAAGTTAATAGTTAATTTAAATTAAGAATAAAGTATTATATTTTAACGAGAATCCTCTAAAATGTGATAACTCATCTGAATAATGAATACTAAAGTAACATGACTAATGACTTTATAGACATCATAAACGGAATTTAATCTACATTTTCATTACTTAGTTGGTGTTTCAGTGTACCACGATTCAAGATTTTTTTTTTCTAATGGTGAGTTATCGATTGTAATTTATTTTAACATTGTTTAAAACTAGGTACCATTTTTCAATAAGATTTATTTTTAAAAATCCAATCACTCTTAATGCGTTATCCATTATGCAAATTTATTTACAGCCTGAAAGAAGAAAAAAATATTAATAAATTAGAGTGTCATAAAAATTATAAGACGTTATAATTTTACTTGAGATAACTTTTACAAAGTTTCAACTAAAAAAAAGTAAAAAAGACATTTAAATTTTTCTTACTTACTTCACTGAGTAATAGTACTCAGCAATCGATAAAGTTATGAGTAAAAACTTTCTGTCAGAGAAGAAATATGTAAATATATATCTATAGGTACGTAGATACCTATATTTACGTTTATAGCACAGATATAATGGAGCAAAGAGCAAAGACTGGAGACCCTTGATGACCCAAACTCGCCACAGCCGTAAAAGGTAATGTTGTAGGTGTAAAATAGGTAAATGTCCATGTCAACTTTGTATTTGGAAATATAGCGAGTGATGAAGAGTTGGGGAAAGTTTGCAGACATTATTTGCTCCATATATCTCCAAGCTGCAACCTACAACAAGTCTCTTCACCTCGACTATTTCTTCATACTATTTGGATTCTCACATTCACGTGCTTTCAGGTAGATATACACGGACGCAACACAGATTAATCTAATTTAACCGCAACAGAATTTGCACAATTGCGAGAAACACACGCATGTGTTTTACATTCTCATTTAAGCTGTTGTTCACGGTGGGTTCGCTCAGAAACGAATAATATAACTGAATTCTCTTCTGTCGGGCACGGTAATACGCTTCATACTATGGTACTTGCCCGCGTTATGTGTGTTATGTGTATCTGTCAGGACTGTGAGGAGGAGCTTTACTCATTCCACACTCTATAACCACGAGGAGCATCTAGGGTAATCCATATCAGACCTAATCCACCCTCTTATAGACTCCTATAGACTCTGTGTTAAATTATAATAGACTTGCTGATACACAGTTCCACTTTCATCGTTATTTTTGCTCACCTGCAAATTTATTATTATTCATAAACTCTATATATGGTTTACACAAAAATAATATGCATTTATAATTTACGGGTCTGACATCAACGCGCTGAAAACTTTTAATTGCATTTCCTCTTTTTAATCCGCTGTTTGATTTAATTAAAGTAAAAATTTTTTTTATGAATTTTACTCCGCTGAAAGTTTACTCAGGACCGAAAATTGATTTGTCAGAAGCACAAAGACATTATTCTCGGTAGATTTACTAATTTTTTTTTCCTGTCGCTTCAAAATATATATATAAAAATATCTATATATACAAATGAAAGAGTTGAAAGAGGAAAAAGAGATAAAGAGGGTAAATCCATATGCTCACTTCCGTGTCATAAATATTGGATAACACTTAACCACGCCCTCTCTATTATGCCGGAGACGAAAGTGTGCAACTATCTGGAATTAATAAAACTAAATAATATATGATATGTATTTATGATAAATTACATTAGATGTTATGTAATGTAATAAGATAAATTTTATATAGAATGTTTACTTACTATACGTGAGAATTTTTTAATACCAAATTTTATTTACTAACTTGTGTTTGTTTATTTTCATTGCAGATCACCGCTGGTATTTTATTAACTGACGCAGTTGACAAAGTACAAAAGGAGAAACTAGAGTTATTTGAAGCTTGCTCTATATATTTACGGTGCTGTGCTCACTCGGATCGATCGGACTTGCTATTTTAATGACTTTTTTGAATTGAAAATGAGTCTAATATAAAATAAAGTAAAAAAAAAAAAAAAGTGTACATAGAGATGAATTTTATGTGAAGAGAAGAGCCGACATTACGACACAACAAAACAGAATAAAAAGGGCGTAAAAACGCGAAATAAAGCCATGACGACGAGGCTTTGATGTGACAAATGTAGGCCTCACGTTTTATTGTTGGCATTGTCGGCCAACAACAATGATTATATAACTGAGGTTTATTACTCTATTATAAAAATAAATAGAAAAATAGAGAAATAGACAAATAGACACGAAGAAGAAATTTATTAAAATGGAGTTTAATTTAAGAATAGCTTGATGGGATGGCAATAACTCAAATGTAATCCTGGAATTTATGGCTGTAAAGTACAGGGACAATTGAAGATTGAAGGACAAGATAACGTTGAGACGAAAACTTGGAAATTCATGAGAATCATGATTCGGGGGCTTTGGCTGGCAATCGTCTTTACTTTAGCGTCTTACGCTTATTCTCAAATGACTTGGACCCCGATCTTTGTCAGCGGTGAGAGTAAGTATCTTTTTATTATTTATCTTGCGCACTCTCTGAGTTATAAGAGTTACTCTATTTTATATCACTGAAGGGAATAATCTTTCACGATGTTCTCTGGCTGTTTTTACGTCCCGGCTATTACGGAGCTGAAAGAAAATTATTTAAGGGATTATTAAAAGTGCTTTTTCATTTTTTTTATTGATTTAAGATTTAATTTTCGCAAGTTCGTTGTACCGAGGATTGATTGTAAGAGAAAATTAGTGTAGGAAAAAATAAAATAATTAAAGAGTTTTTTTTCCTCTTGAGGCAGTCGGGGGAAAAAGACTGAAAAGGATAATAAAAAGTAGGTGAAAAAGGCCGAGGTTCGAGGTTGGTTATTTTGGAGTTAAGTGTCCAGAATAATTGAAATGCGGGAAATTGAAACCCATCAGATAAATCGAACTTTAGTGAATTTTCAGGTTTAGCTTGAAATAAAAAATTCCATTTCAATTTTTAATTAAAAATTGGAAATTTAGTGTGTCGTGAATATTGTTTTATTTCCGTAAAATGCGATTTTAAAAATAAATTAAGCGGCTGAGGATTTTATCGGTAGCACACAAATTCACGTGGAGCTTAAAAAGATTAAAAAATAAAATAAATAGATAAATAAAATTACAAATGCGTGTTTACAAAATAACACTTGAAACTGGCTGGCTATTTATTTTCTTCTTTGAAGACATAAAGGACCGAGTGTGTATGTAAAAAGTTTTTTTCATCTTAAACTAGCGCTCCTTGCAAACGAAAAACAGGAATTTACACAAATAACAGTGGTAAACCGCAACGCTCGTCTTGAAGTGGAAAAAAAGGTTGTAAAAAAAAATTCGATTCACGTAGAGCGGATCGAAAAGTAATTCCTTGTTCCCCTGAACGCTGATATTCTCCACCGTGTAGGATATATATCCTCTTCACAGACACTTGCGCCGTTTCATGACTCTCACAATTCACAGTAGTGTAGAGGAGATTCGCGTCGGCGCCCTCTAAAATAAGACACGAGGCTTTGTAATGAGAAATCAATCCCAAACGTGCACCGGGTGCACCGAGTAACTCAATTTATATCCAAGTATATCTTTCCACCAAGTTTTATTCTTTACTTCCCAGTCTCTCCTCTATTAGCTCTGTTCACTAGACCTATGCTGGTACCGCCGGCGAGCTTATCTCACCTAGAGGACCTAATAAACACCTTATCATTTATTAACTCTCTGTTTATAATACTAATAATATTCTTTGCAAGTCCACCGCTAATTAATATTAATGTCGCTTTAATTAAATTACCCGGTAAAATAATAGCAATTAATTATAATTATAGATAAAAATAACAATGATTGATAACGATCTAATGCAGTTGGAGTTATAAATAGAGGAATGAACGCTGATGAAATAGAAATACCGAGTTACGAAATAGAACAATCAAACTATATCACGGTAATTTTCCATGTGATTAGTATCGGTCTTTGAACCTATTGCATTATCATACTGCAATTAGCGTAATTCCATTATCTCTTGACGATGATAGTAATTATACACAACACAACAGTTCTGGTAAATTCATCATGTTTATTATAGTAACTTCATGCATGTTATACATTTTAGATTATTGTTATAGTAACCGCAGGAACAGGATGAGCTGTTGTTATTATTATTATTATTATTATTATTATTATTATTATTATTATTATTATTATTATTATTATTGTTGTTGAAATGATAAGGCAACTTTTCACCTACGATAATTTTTTAATTAAAAGTTTGAACCCCGAAAAAGTTGATTTTGATGAAGAGTTAATATAACTCTTGGATTAATTTTATCGGCATACACTTTATAATCATTGGTGCATATAATTATCCCTTTTGCACACGAAAGGCATTATATATAGCTGGATTCATCCGAGCTGGAACCAGAACCAGGTAAGCATAGGGCTTCACTCGGATAAAAACCAGTAAGAAGGGGACGGAGCTCACGGTGTTAGTTCTCGGAAAGTTTAAATCGTTTTCCAATATCATCTGCCGCGTAGTCCACCTTGATAATTGGAAATTTCCTCAATTGGGGTCATTCAATATCATTTGTAATTGTTAGTACTTTTTAATTATCAACCGCTTATGCACAGTGGAAACTCTATTTAACCAAAAACTCAATATTGCGTTGAAAATACCAAAGTTTGTTTGGTTTACATTGTTATTTGATTTCTATGCTTCTCGTTTACATTCTTACAGCCTTAGTTGCTAAAATTTGAAGATTTAGATCAAGCAATGCGGTCTGAGTATTATTCACATCGCCAAAATAATTTATTTATTAAATTTTGATCCAAGAGCAAGTGCTTTCTAAGGACCATTATCATTAAGTACATTTCATAGTGAGGACATATTAAAATTAATGTAATGTTAGAATAATAGAATATAGTAGGTTAATTATAGATAATATAACATGATAAGTAACACTAGCAACCTTGCAGTTACTATGTGACTGTCGTAACTTGTGAACTATAAAAAATTAAAATTTTGCTTTATTAAATAATGACTTTTGTTAAATTCCACTGTACTTTCTTAAATATTGACATTTTTTAAGATATAAGCTCATTCCGATGTTATACTTATCAAGACTTTTCATTTGATTACCCACATGCATTTTTATATATTTTTCATATATTCATATATATTATATATAATATATAAAATATATGAAAAATTGATGTGGGTACTCAAATGGAAGCTCTCGATGAGTGTAATGTTGGGATGAGCTTATATCTTTAAAAATGTCATTAGTTGACAAGATACAATGTCATTTCCCTGATTAAAAAAAAGTATTGAAAAAGTAGTGAATTACACACACTGTATATCTGTGTATATACATACAATATAGATATACAGTTGCATAGGTTCAATACTTTTTTTTAATCAGGGTTCTTAAATATTGACGTTTTCAAAGATATAAGCTCATCCCGATGTTACACTCATCAAGAGCTTTCATTTGAGTACCCACATGCATTTTGATATATTTTTCATATATTTTATATATATATATATGATATATGAAAAATTGATCTGGGTACTCAAATGAAAGGTCTCGATGAGTATAACATCAGGATGAGCTTATATCTTTGAAAATGTCAATAGTTCACAAGATAAAAGGTCATTTCTTAATTATGTATCTAGATATTTTCAAATTCAGCCTAAATACTTATCATAATAAATTGACTATCAGTGAGAATGAAATGAAACCTTGAAAAGGCACAAATTCAAGTCAAGACCTTTGTAATGACACTAAATTTCACTAAAAAAAAAAACCGATTTTATCATATGACTATCCTGATGGAAACAAAATTTTTCTTATTCTCTTAATAATATAGATGATATAACATAATAAGTAATAATGATAAAAATTGTTATTGCCATTGATTCTTCATTAAATTAAATAAAATAATTTAATTAATTAATAAACAATCAAATAAATGAAATTAAATTCTACGTCTTCTCTCCGTACAACAAAAACTCTTTATAACTTGAAAAAGTATCCGGTCTCTTGAGTTTCATTATATGGAGTTTCCACTGTAAATATATTTAATATAGAGATCTTTAGTTAGCATTATATTGAGTTTGGATCGAGGAGAGAATATGTAAATAACTATGGCAAAGATATAAATGGTGATTAGCTGTTGAGTTCTCAAAATTCAAATGAGAAACAGCAGTAACTGCTGCGCAGATTGTGTTGTATATAATAGTTATTATAGAGTTATGTACAAAGCTCGAGAATGGAGTTTAGAATTGGCATGAATGGAAATTCCGTCACCTTCGACTCTCTCTCTCTCTCTCTCCATTGTCTCTACGACATTGTCGAGGATTTCTAGCTAAGCCAATTATCAACGGTGCTGGTACAACCGTTTGAGATTTCCGTGAAACGCATTAATTTATGCATCAATCGAAAATATGGCAATCAATGTGACGGAACGCCTATATCGCTGCTACCTCATACCACCACCACATATTCTACGTGTTTAATCTACATCTAGATGATAGATCGATACCGGTTCGGATATTTGAGGTACTGAATTTTACCTCTTTACATTTCTCTCATCTGTTTGAATTTACCTTCCTCACGTCCGTTAAATGTACCTCTACCTATAAATATTACATGTATAAATCAAACTCTTTATTCGAACAAAATCTAAACATTCCAGGTAAAATATACAACAAAGTACATACATACATTCCAAAAAAAAAAGATTTAATTTATGTCCTATGATATTTTCACTTTTTATATTGTTTTTTTTTTTTTTATTATAAATGTCTATAGATATTTAAAATTTATTGTTGGAAAAGTTTTGATGAAAAGAAACACCCAGAGTTGTCACTAGCAGCATTTTGCTTGTCTAGTGAAACTCTATTCAGGGGTTTGCACTTCAATTCGCTGCACCCACTTATTCACTTCATCTTTTGTGTATTCACTCTTAAATTTAATTTATTATATTATTATTATTGTTATTATTATTATTACATTATCAAAGCACGAACTTTATTATTCGAAAGTAGTAATTTATTTATAAACTTCCGGTGAAACAATTAATAAACACAGTCAATGAATAATAATAATAATAATAATAATAATAATATTACTACTTTATAATTTAATCTTCATTATGATACTAAAGTTAGCTGACAACTGTTAATTTTTTTTTTCTGCTTTTTTTTAACGAATAAATTAATATTTAAAAAATACTTATTTAAATTTGAATGAAAATAAATTTAGCAGATATTTAATAATTCTTTTTTAACAAATAAATTATGGCAAAAAAATTATTTAAAAAAATTGACTTGTAGAAATTTAAAAAAATAAAAAATGCAATTTTTTTTTTAATAATTTTTTTATAATAATTTAATAGTTATAAAATTATAAAAAAATTCCTATTGTCTGTAAACTTTAGTTTCATTGTTAATTAAATATTAATAATTAAAGTTTAATTTGAGTGTGCGGCAACAAAGTTTTATTGGTAAAATAAAATTGAGTAGAAAGTAAAACTCGATACGTCGAAAAAGTTATCAAAAAGGATGATAGGAAGACTGACAGTGGACGCAAAAGAGAGATTAATAGGACCGGTAAGAGAGATAGATAAATTGGATATAGTGGAGACAGAGGTGAGAGAACAGTGAGAGTGTACATACCCAGCCAATTAAAGTGTAAATGTATGGAGATGCGATCAGCATATCAAGTAGTATCCTACGGTAGTAGAGTCACCGACCACCAGCAAGTCACACTACATAAAACCTAAAAACATATCATCAATCAATATCTTCATTTAATTCAAATGTCAATACATAAATTCCGGTGATAAAAATAATTCAAAAATATTGCCTGCGATTCGATAAAATGTGACCACTACTCTGTTATTTTGGCGTCGACAGTCACCAGTTATTAAAAAAGTCAATATTTATTGTCGCTGTTGTTATTGTTGTTATTTTTTAATATAATCACTCGACAATAGACCGATCAAAGGATAGAGTATAGAGAGAGAGAGAGAGAGAGAGAGAGAGAGAGAGAGTGGTTAAATTGAGTAAATGTGTTTTATATTACATATTTCATACAGATTTATTTTGCAGGTCAAGTGGATTTTTGGACCCAGAGTGAAACCGGGTGTGCTTGCAGCTTCAATTCATCAAGCAAAAATTGCGCGTGTTGCGTACTATCAGGAGGATGTAGCTGTGGTAGCGCCATGCCTAAGCGATGTGCTCAGTGTGGCTTGGAACAATATTGTACAAACAGTATGTGTTTAATATCATATCTTGACTTTTATGATACCTTAATTAAATACACTGATAGAAGAATTTATTTATAGTTCAAATATTTGTTAATATTTAACAAATAAAATCATTTTAAATACTAAAGAAATATTTGTTTAATATTAAAAAGTCGTCTCTAATAAATTACTAACGATTTGATAACTATTAACAAATATTTATTTTGTACAAATAAATCCTTCTATCAGTATACAAAATAAAAGAGACCGAGAGATAAATTTTGGATTAGAAATTTCTCCGTCTTTGGCTTTTAAATTATTGAATCAAATAAGAGGCTATCAACGTGCAAATTAATATATCTCGATGAAGCTTTAATCAAGAATATCCCCTGAAGGAGTAAAACCCGGTTGGTTTACAGCTTGGTTGATTAATTTCAAATTTAAGTTTCAATGAACTTTTTCGATTTCCTTGAGTTCCATTGGAATCGATTTTGTCAGAGATATCGGCTCCAGGCGGAATTTTTATCGCATTTGGGAATCTTTATGTACACATACACCACTCAGACATCCCCCAAAATAATCAACAGATTTGTACACCAGCCGAGGAAAAATCTTTTAAAAAGCGAATTTAAATAATCGGATTGATTACGATAACTCAACTTTTTTCAATATTTTCTATTTTCATTACCGGGAACGAGAGCGCGAGATAAAAAACTAATTTAATAGAAAAATATTTAAAAGCCAAAGAAATTTAATTTTTTTTAACACAATAATCTTATAAAACTTAATTCTCGGTCTGCTTAAAACTTTTTTAATGTATTGCTTGTTATTCTGGATAATAAGAGATGTTATTGGATTTAATTTTCAGTGTGTAACATAACGTTAGATAGCAAACAACTTTTGAGAAAGTCTAATCGGGCTTTTGGCCAGATAAAATCACTATCGGTAATAGGACCAACTGAGTGCTTTTACAGGTTTATCCCGGATATTGGTCAACGAGTTGAATTACAAATCTATCGTTTAATCTCCATTGGACGTCACAATGGAACGGCGTAAGTAAAAGATTTATTTATTTATTTTTATTTTATTTTATTTTATTTTATTTATTGCCGCTTTTAGATGGGTTATCTGACATTATAAATAGCCGCATTTAACTGGTAAAAGAGAAACTTTAAGAGTACAATGGCATGAGAAATAGCGGTTTATTTTTTATAAAAACTTCAGCTAACTTTTATATTTAACTTTTTTTCGTATACTTTACTTTATATTGCATGTGATTAACGGATTATGGATTTTCTTTAGGTGTGAGGGTGGCTGGCTCGAACTGGAAGGCGGTGCCCGTATTTGCGGTTCTAATGTTCGATTCGATCGACCCGTGGTGCTTTTTTCCGACAAAAGTGAAGCAACACTACGAATGCAGTGAGTCATATATATTTATATACGTTTTTTTTCTAACCCAATATTCAAATTTTAATTTCATTTTAGTTTGTCATCATGCAAATTATTTTTTTTCCTCTAAGCTTAATTTATTTGCCGGGCGTGCTCGAGTTTCGTGAGTGCGGACGATTTAAAAAAGACTAAATAATAAATGCCGGACAAAGAAGAAAAGAAGAGACAGGGTGAACAGAGCGAGGCGCCGGAAAACAAGCTGGAGATAAAATAAGTAAAAGTAAGAGTAATAGAATAGCTAGCTGCTGTAGAGGAATTATAAAATAATGTGGTGAGTTTTGATGTGGGCACTTGGAGTGCAGGAGTGAACAGAACAACGTTAAGCTCAAAAGCTGTTGAGTCACAAGTCTCCTCGACCGACAAAGCGGCGAAAGAGAGGAAGATCATTTATTGATTGTGCCGGGGGCACGTAACTGGGAAGTGAAACGCGGCAGGGTGCCAGACAGGAAGAAAGGGGGGCTTATCGACACGCCAAGCGATAGAAATGCCCGAGCCATGGAAAATGGAAAAGCTCTTTCAACCGACAAGAGCAAACATGAAAGGAATTTTCATCGCCGAAGAATCGTCGATGAATTGCCGATGTTGTTGCCAAAACCACTCACAGGAGCAGTCGCGATAACTTGAATCTCTTTTGCAGTAGCTTTCCCCCAAAATTCCTTCTCTTTATCATACACAACAACCTTTGTGTCTTCTTAGTCTTCTTTATATTACTCCTTATGTTTAAACTTGCGCTATCACTACCAACAACTATTATCTTTACCATTATCGTTATTGTTATCATCATCGTCGCTCCAAAATATATGGATATACATTCTATAGAGGTGCATTTACATCTGGGCATAGAAACCAGAAAAAAAGAAAAATACAAAAAATTATGCATATTTTTACAAATCAAGAAAATTTTATTAGAAAAGAAACGCACAAAATTACAAATTTCATAACACAAATTGTGCTATACAGTCATCTTTAAAGCATAGATTAAACCATAAGTTTCTAAAATATAATAGTCATCTTAATAGTTAATAGTCATCTTAACATAAGGTAAAATAAATTGCCTATTACGAGTACTAAGTATTCTTTCAGAGAGTACAATATTTTACAATCATTGTAAAAATATAAAAGAGCATTAACAACAAAAGTATCTTTTATTTTTAAAAGTATCAAATCCATCCGTATTATCATTTATTTATTATTTATTAAACCACCGGGAAAAATATAATACACTGTATCAAGTTTCTCAAGGTATTTATAATTAAAATGTTTTGTGTAATATATTTATTGTCATTTCAGAATTCACGAGAACACTACGAGATCGCAATTTTTAGCATATTTTAGTTTTGCCTCGAAAGCAAGCACGTCCGTTGGCTGGCCGATGAGAGGAGGAAAAGTTATTAATAATACGGGTAAGTTATTATTAAAAGTTTGCTTATAAAGTTTTGAATTTTATCATTTTTTTCCAGCATTAGATTTTGTGATTTAACATTTTATCCAACATAGCACGATATTTTCACGATAATCTGGACTGTCTAGCTCGCCAAAGGACATAATTATAAAAGTAATAATAATAAAATAAATAATTTCAAATTAATTTACAGCTTAAAATATATAAATGAAAAAATATTCTGTACTGAGAGCGTAATTACGGGATAAAAAGGCGAAAGAGCGAAAAAGTAGGGACAAATGATGATAAAAAGCATTAAATGAAATTTCAATTTATTTCGAGGTCTACTAATAAAGCCAGCAAGCTTTTGCTCTACAGAAAGCTAATTTTCTCGACCAACGTACGAATTTCCTTGGACAAGCAAAGCGACGTAATTTTCTCTCGTTGCTTATATATATATATATATATATATACATATATGTACATATATATACACCTACATAGAAGTAAAATTATGCAAGGTTAAGTGTAGAACAGTCCAGGTCGTCTGAGCTTAACCAAATAAGGGTAGAACCGGTAGCACAGTACACTACGAGTCCAAGACTATTTAACTGTCCTGCACCACGAGTGCTAACAACGTAAACACGGATGGTTATGCTTCCTAGCAAAATTTGTCTCCAACACAATACTATTGTCGCACTGTCTGTATTTATCTGTATCTGTGTCTGATGATTATATACATAGAATAGAATCTATCCGTCCGCTACATAGTAAGAGCGAATAGAACGTCTACCTTAGATAAGTAAAGACGGAATTTACTAAACAAGAAATAATCAAATATAAGTAGTTGAATCGAGAATTCACCAAAGGTCCCTTTATACTTCTCCCCACTGTTTGAAACCTGACTCGAATCTAAAATTTCTCATTGAATTTCTATTATATATAACAGCATCAATATTCTGGTCCGACAAATACGGAAACGAAAATTGCGACAACATCCTCCGTACAGACTTGGTGTATTGTAGTTGTCTAGTTTTTATTTTTTTTTTTTTTGCTCGGCCCTTCAGTTCTTAAACTCCGATCGGCTAATTTATATTTTCCCCGAGGGCTAATGAAAAAATGAAATTGAAATAAATAAAAATAATCGCATTGGTGATATTGATTGGAAATGAAATAATATTGTTTGTTTTCGATCGACTGTTGTAGATTGTGATTGGATCTTCGAGGATTGTTTGAACACAGATTGCATTTTGGCGAGTCCCGCCTATCCAGGGCTTTACCCGGCAAATATACGATGCCGCTATCTCATCAAGTCAAATATCACAGTATCAATTACACTTGCATTTAACTCCTTGCTTCTATCTTTCAAGTGAGTAACTTTCATTATTTAACATTTTAATTACTATTATCCCTATTATTACACCGATGATGATAATAATAATAGCTGTTTCGCTATCTGCTTTTTAGCGGGAGCTAAAAAGTTAACAGGAAAAAAGTTTATCATAATTATTTTATAATATTTTATTAAAATACCTTTTTAATTATAATATAATAATGCTCTTACACTAATTTTTTTCGCTTTATAACTTTAAAAATATCAAGTTGAATAGATTATTAAATTATCGTATAATTGGCTCATTAGCGTTAATATCTTAGCCGTTAGCTCTTTATTTTTTTTTAATTTTTTTTTTATTAACAGCACCCTCGTAAAATAAATTGAAACTCAATAGTACTTGAAGTTATTTATTCTCACATTTATTTTCCTTTCAAAGGATTACTTTTATACAATATCCCATACATATTCAGCGTAGTGATTCATGTGCGTGCGTAAATCCTATATATTTTTTCCTGTGCATATATAAAGCTGATACCCTCAACTTTGTGTACCTCAAAAGTATATTTACATGTGCGTGATGAGCCGCAGTGTGAATGGATGAGTACTAAGTCCATTCCAGGATATTTAAAACCACTAGCTTGCATTCAGACATATATCAGATTTATGTAGACAATATTGACTAACCCGCGATAGATTATTTCACTTACAAGCGTTTGAGGAGCGGTCTAGATTGTTAAATATTTAATATTGTGTAGTATATGGATACTTTGATACTTAACTCTCGAGTTACTCTCGAGTTGGGACGTCGTCAAAGAATATCACGCTGAAAATTCTTCGCGCATCTGGCTCTAATGACGCTCACGTACTGCAATACATTGTGTCAGTGTTAGTCTGTAGTTGGAAAAATTGGTCAAGTGTGTTTCTACATTCATCTACACAGCTGGCGCAAATACTTTTATAAAAAATTCAGAGACTTTAAAAATTTATTTTATAACAAGGTAGAAAAAAGTGAGAAAAGAGGGACTGAACGACCAGTGAATATTCTGTTTTAGAGCTTATTTGCCAACTTCATTCAATAATAATAATCAAATATCTTTCAGTACTGAATTTTTTATGCGAAACTTTTTTTTTTTCATTTTACTAAATGAGATTAATGAATAATATATTAGGGAGAGTGAAATAGCCCCTTCGAAAAATTCAAATGTCACTTTTGTACTTTTTTTTTAAAAGTAAATATTTTATTTCAATATGATCCAGTAATTTGTAGCAGAAAAACTTTATAGAATTTTTCAATTTTTTTATGTGACAGTTAATATTTATTTTACTAAAAGTGTTAATAGCTTTTTACAAAGAAAAATTACTGAAAAGTAAATTAAAAAGAAAATATTTGCATGTTTGAATATCAGGTAAATATTTTCCTTTTTGAAGTTTACTTTTTTTACCTAAAAAGTTTACATTTTCTTGGATTTATAACCATGAAGGGACATATGAATTGATTCAAAGATTTAATAGACTAGATAAATAATGTGTGTATATCTTTTTAAACTCCTTTTTTTTTTTATCTCAATCTACAAAAGTTTAAAAGATTGTAAAAATGATAAATAACTCGAAATTATAAACTTTTTATAGGAAATTTTATTTATGATTTAGTAGTTTTGTCAATGATAAAAGTAAAATCTTTTTATGGTCCATAAACTAAAAATAAAATAACTTTTTTAAAGACATTTCTTAAGCTGAAGAATTATTTTATAGCAAATTCGCAATAAACTCTCTTAATAAAAGATTTTTTCTAGTTATAAAAAAGGTCAACTTATAAAATGGAATTCTAGTTAAACTGGATAAATTTTTTTATCGTCAGAATAAAGGAGTTGGAAATTTTAATCAAAGAATTTTCTAAAAAGTTTTTAGTTTTATTTTTTTCCGCAAAGAAAAGTTATCAAAGGTTCTGGCAGTTAAATATTTTTCTCACCTGATTTAAAAAAACAACCGCGGGTTATTTAAATTCCCTTTAACTCTTGAAGTTAAATTTAATGAACATTAGAGGGCCAAACTCATTCAACAGACATTTTCCAGGGTGTATAGTAATATTTATAAAAAAAAGGTGGTAAAATATAATTACAAAGCGTATATATCATAAGACAGCCTGGGTATACACCAGTAATCTAATTACACAGAGTAAAAGTCTTGAAATACCACATACCTTGCCGGTAATATCTTTACCAAAGTACTTAGTGGCTGTCGCGCATGATTCATACATTTGTCTTACTACTCATATATATATATATATATATATATATTTACTACTCGTAGTACAACTACTGGAAGTTATAGTGACTACTCGGGCTTGTACCTCTGGTGTAGCATCCAGTGAAGAGCTGTACTTAGTGGTCCAAGTGAAGGCAGAGTAGACGTAGAGTCGGAGGTAGATGGAGATGTAGATATAAATATGAATGTATAAAGTGACTATCTACACTTATACATATGGATTGTTGAATGTTTATGTAAGGAAGGTGGATACGGTTTCAGGCACTCCCTTTTACTCTCTTGCACTCTAGAAATCGCGCACGCCAGTATTGATTCATCCCTCTTGTTGGTTGGAAGATCTCAAACCAATGACTCACTCATGAGAAATGAGAAACGTATCGCTTGGCCATTTTATCAAAATGTATCTTGATTTTTTTATTCTCTTCTACCCTCAATTGATATACGGTTCATGAATTTTTCCCTTTTTCATTTTATTATTTTATTTTTTATCCTCTCAGCTCTCAGCGAATAATGCGCGCTCATCCTTAATTCTCTTCAAGACAAACGAGTACAAGGAACCACCATTATTAATCACTATAAAATAAATAAAACATATATTTTTTAGTTCATCATATAAAATGATCAATCGATCGTTTACTTAATATTCATCCATGCGGAGCTCCATTAAATAAAAAAGCCACTTACCCAGCTCTGAAAAATAGGTACAAAGTATATAATATAATAACGAGGAATATAATTTTAATGAAAGATTTCTCTCGGGAGTTTAATAAACTTTAATAAAATATTCAGCATGTAAATATTGAATTAATAATTTAAATTCGAGATCCAAAGTTACCGAGAAAAATTCACCATTTTTAAATTGAATCATGAATAATATTATGATCTAATTAATTCATTAAAGTCTTTTGCAACTTCAAAGATGAATTTTATCATTAAACACATGTTGGATTATTTTTTATTAATATTGCACTTAATTAAATAGATCCTTGAGATGATATTAAAATCAGCTGAAAATTTTATTAAAAGTTAATTATTAAAAAAAAAAATTGCACTTGTAAATTTTTTTAATTTCTTAATATGGAATTTTTTTATTAAAATGTAAAAGATACTGAAGTTAATTGACAGAAATTTTTTTATAATTTTACAGTAATTAAATTACTATGAAAAAAATGTAATAAAAAAATTCCACATGTAAAAATTAAATAAAATTTTTTAGAACATTTTTTTTTAGTGTAATTGATTCGTTATAAATAATATAAAAAAAAAATTGACAGCTGTCAGCTAACTTCAGAATGATTTTTTTTATTGTAATTGATTTGTTACAAAAAAAGCCACTGAAGTTAACTGACGTTAAAAATTTTTTTAGAATTTTATAACAATTAAATTACTATAAACAAAAATTTAATAACAAAATCCCATATGTAAAAATTAAATAAAATTATTATTGGACATTTTTTTGTAATTAATTAGTTATAAAAAATTAAAAAAAATGTCAGCTGACTCAGTATAATTTTAAAAATTGACAGCTATCAGCTGACTTCAGTGTGATAAAATTTCTTCCTAACAATTTAGAGGTTATAAAATCCAAAATTTGACAGATGAATACTTAACAAACATATGAATTGTTTGAAAATCTGCATTCCAGTCACTGCACCGATGATTATGTCGCCATTTACGCAGGCCCCACCGTCTCGAGCACAATGCTTAAGAAGTTATGCAATAATGAGAAGATGTCTATTGTTCACGTCGGAACTGAGCTACTCGTGGAGTTTAAGTGAGTATTTTTTCATCATTCTATTATTTCTTTAAAGTAAACATTACCACTGTTAAGAGGTTAGTTGTTGTTAGAATAAAGATGCAAGTAAAATAAATATTATAGCATAAGGAAGTCTTTATCTGCATTTTGTATGCTAAATATTTATATATGAACGCACTAGTAACCATAACCTGAAAGACAAGGAAGCAAATTAAGCGGTTGCATTACGAGCCTCGAGTACTTAATTGTTTAAGAAAGAACAAATAATTGCACTTTAATACTGTGATATTATACCATAGAGATAATAATATAATATAATACATAATGATTATGATGACTTTGATGCAACCTCTATTTCCAGGTCAGGCTCGGAGATGTCACCGTTCAACTACAACGGATTTTCTGCTCAAGTTACTGTTAATGAGTTAACAACGTTACCGCCAACAACTACCACATCGTTTTATAGTACAAGTGAATATTTAGATAAATGTCATTACGTTGAAATAATTAAACTTTGTTTTAAAAATTTATTAAAACAAAAAAAATACTTGGTTAAATTTTTAATGATGACATTAAAGTTAGCAGACAACTATTTTTTAATTTTTTTTAACAAATAGATTTTTTTTTTTAAATTACTAAAAAAATTGAATTTTTTATTTTTTAAAATTTCAATTTTTTTTTCTACGTTTTTTGCCATAATTTATTTGTTAAAAAAAAATTATCAAAAATCTGCTAAATTAATTTTCATTTTTTTATGATGAAAATTAAGTTAGCCATCTAAAAATTTTTAGAAAATTTTTTTTATTAAAAAAAAAATTTCATTTGTAAAAAAAATGAAAAACTGTAAGTGCAATTTTTAAAAAATATTTATGGCATTAAAGTTAGCAGTCACTTAACAATTTTTTAATTTTATTTATTAAAAAAATTATTTTTAAAAAATTGCATTTTTAATTTCTTAAAATTTCTACATGTCAACTTTTTTTTGCCATAATTTATTTGTTATAAAATTAAAAAAATTATTAAATATCTGCTAAATTTTCATAAAATATTTTTTTGTTCTAATTTAATTATTGAAAAAAAATCAAAAAATTAAAAACATTGGCTAACTTTAGTATTATTTTTAAATGACATAATAATGTGCTTTTAAATTGTGTGTTTAGTTAAAAGCATTGAAGATAACGTCAACAACAGTATCATCTACGATGTAACCAAGTACAATAATCGTAACCTAAAGGATTTGCGAAGCAACTCTGTGGTCGGGAGCAGTACAACCGCAGCGGGCTGCGATCTTGAAATAGATGGCAACAAGTCGAGATTTGGTCACTATAATACAAGAGGAAAGATTCAATCTGATAGTTGTCACTTTGTTCTAAGAGGGAGAATTCACGACACGGTTCATATCCTTTTGATCAGTTACAATCTGAGGTTCGTGTACTTACCTATCGAGTCATATTTTCATTTTCTTTAATAAATTCAATTTTTCTTACTCTGTACAATTTTTTCCCGGGCTTTGACTTCAAGTTTCTTGTCTTGCTTTTCTTCAAATATCAAATAAAATATATATTTTCACAATAGTGCTCCATCGTGCAAGACAGTGATTGAGATCTGGGACGATGGGAGTCCGGGGGAGGACAAAAACCTTAAAAATATAAAAAAGATCTGCAGTCCAGTCCAAACAGTTAAACGGCCACGACAATTCAATCATTCTGAAAGGTAATCTCTTCGTTTTTCAATCAATAAAAATAAATTAATATTTTTACTCTTCAATTCACTGTAAATCAATATAGAGCATATTTCCTCAACGCATGTTTGCGGAGGACGAATATAGTTTGGTATCGCATGAAAAAATTTTAATCAGCTTACAATATTCCTTTGTATTCTTTGAGTAATTCTAAAAAAAATAAAACAATATTGTTTGTCGTATTCATCATCCGTGATTGAATCGTTTTACGGAAAAATTTGTCATTCGCTATTTTTCAAGCTCAAATGATTCCTGTTTTTTTTTTTTTTTTTCTTTTTTTTTTTTTTATTGTATTTTTTTATGCTACACGTAAATTTACAGAATAAAAACAAATAAACGCTTAATTTTTTTTGTTTATCGGTTTATGTGTACTCTCAAATATCAAAATTTTTTACAGCGTATTTAGTTTTTTATGCACAAAAGTACAGCTCAGTAATAAAATATGGTTCAGACGCTTATACATCCAGAGCAATACATTCTCTGTAATTGTATATAAATACACCAGATAGAAATATCGATTTTAAATGTTGTGAAATTTTAAACCCATAGAACTAAAACCACAGAAGGATTTATTTTTCATCCTAAAAAAGCAACACAAGAAAAATATGTAACAATCATTAGCATTTTATACACAAGTATTTTTAACGTCTAATAAAACTCATGAAAAATTCAATTTAAACACACAAGACATGTTTGTAGTTCATGAATATGAGGAATTTTTGTTTGCTGACCAACCGATCACAGTTATCAATTTTTTTTATTCACTTTCCGAAAGTAAAACTAAAATTCAAAGCGCAAGCCTTGGAGATTACAATAAAAATCCGCCGGCTGTCAGATTTTTGTGCTTATTTATGTGCAATTTGAATTATTTAATATATAAATCTGTAATATATTAGCTCAGAGATATATATGTTTTGACAGGTACAGTGAACCGGAGCATTATTCATCAACCGGGCGTGAATTGACGATTGTTTTTAAACGGACGGACAACAAAACAGACGACCAACAATTCGTCGAGTTCTCTTATTACTTTCATGATGGTGAGTATTTTACCATCATCACTTTGACTAGGAGTGTCAGGTAACATAAATTTAAGGATTTATAAACTAGCAACCTTGCAGTCACTATGACTGCCGTAACTTTTGAATTGTGAATAAATAAAATTTTGCTTTATTACATAATGATTTTTGTTAAATTGCACTGTACTTTCTTAACTATTGACATTTTTAAAGATATAAGCTCATCCCGATGTTACACTCATCAAGACCTTTCATTTGAGTACCCACATCACTTTTTCATATATTTTATATATTTATATATTTATATATAAAAAATATATGAAAAATGCATGTGGGTACTCAAATGAATGCTCTTGATGAGTGTAACATCAAGATGAGCTTATATCTTAAAAAATTTCAATAACTAAGAAATGACAGTTCACAAGATACAAGGTCATTTCTTAATTATGTATCTAGGTATGACTATCCTGGACCCAAAATTTTTCTTATTCTCTAAATAATATAGATTAAAAAGTATAATAATAAAAAAACAAAATTATATCAGCTGATGAATAATCATGATTCATGAAATATTACATAATTCTATTTATACTTGGCTTTATATTATCTCTACCTATATCTATACGAGCAAAGTAAAGTTTCATCCGTAAATAATTAAAGAGAAAGATAAAACAAACTTTAGTTATTTCATTAGCATTATTATTGTATTTTCAGAAGGGGAAGGAGGTACTTTACGGCCCTCGAGCACTTGCGATGTTGAATATTACGGGTTGAGTTCATCAAGAGTAGGACAGCTGACCAATCCAATTTTTAAGTTTTTTACAACACAAGATTACATTAAATGCAAACAACATTTCATACCAGCGACTAATCAATCAGTCGTTTTAACGGTAACCGACACATAAATATTTATGTTTGTCATTTATTGAAACAGACTATTTATATTCATTAATATTTATATATGTGGTAAATAAATAAATAAATAAATTTTTTCGGACAATTAGGTGGACAACGGTATCACTAATGAATCATCAAATAAATCCTGTAATACACTTTGTGGCGATAACGGTTGCCATTGTGTCAGTGATAAACATCTCGACGAAATAAATCATGTTAAACTAGTCTCCGAGCCGAACAATGTTGTCATCTGTTTGTGTGGAAATTACGAGGTTTAACTTTATTGCTTTTTTATTTTTTCTTTTTTTTCTATTAAACATTTTCATGAAATGTATAAATAATTTTTTTTTTTTTATTTTCATAATTTATATTTCTGGGTTTTATATTTTATTGAAATTGAATGAAAATTGTATGTTTGTGTATGTAGAATTGGCTTCCACTTACGATACGGGGCTGGAGTCCTCTTTACATCGAGTGGTCGCGATCCTCTGGAACAGATCTCAATGTAAAAGCCGCATACAAGTTTATCGAAGACACTTACTGCGGTGATCACTCGACAACTCAACTGGAGGGTATCGTTAAAGCTGGCGATTTGACAAGTAACGCAATATCCAATCAATACTACCAGCAAAAATGCACATGGATTTTGGACTCTACGATTGATCGGCAATTAACTGTCGAGGTCGAATCGTCGCAGGACCGTGAGTGACCCAGTTTTATCAATACATTAATTATTTACCACTACGTTTTAACCTTAATAAACTTTTAATGGCAAATATTAATTATCAGGACCGTGCACGTCATGGAATTTAACTATACATGAATATACTAGAAGTGCAAATCCACTTGGTCAGAGACTTTATACTTTTTGCTCAAGAGATAAACACAAAAATTTTACCCTACCTTGGAAAATCAATACAGCAATAATCAGGTGAATATTCATTTTGACATTTTTAAAGATATAAGCTCATCCCGATGTTACACTCATCAAGAGCTTTCATTTGAGTACCCACAAGCATTTTTGATATATTTTTCATATATAGATATATATAATATATATAAATATATAAAAAAATATATTTATATATATATATGAAAATATATGAAAAATTGATGTGGGTACTCAAATGAAAGGTCTCGATGAGAGGAATGTCAGGGTGAGCTTATATCTTTAAAAATGTTAATATTTCTTAAGATACAAGGTCATTTCTTAATTATGTATCTAGAGATATGTATTCAAGCCACGAAATTTTTCTTATTCTCTTAATAATATAGATTAATTTTTTTTTTTTAGATTACAAGCATTAAGTAGGACAGCACCGCAATATGTAATGAAATGGCGTAGTGTCACAACATTAGGAAGCACCCGAAAAAATCAACCCTCACCTGCACCTGACTACGTATTAAAATCATCTCAATCCACGATAAGTATTAATAATTACAAAACAATTGTATCGATAAATATTATTTTTGTTACACTTATATTTTATTAATTTACAATTGTAATGATTATTATTATTATTATTATTATTATTATAAATTGTTAAATATTTATTTGTTAACGTAAAACGTAACTGTCTAACAATGAAAGAGAATTGATAAAGATAATTTTGTAAATAATATAAATACTATATTATATATTAGAGAGTACAGAGTATTTATAGAATTTGTACAAAGATACGATTGAAAAAACTGAAGCCTAGGAAATGAATTATAAATATATAAATATACGATATGAAGTATAGGGATTCTAAAGTAACGTTAATTTAAATGTAATAAAAAAAAACAGACTAAATTAAATATACAAGTACGAGTGGGGGAGATAAAATAATAATAATTGATTAATTAGTATTTTGATAAAAAAATCTTGAAATAATCAAGACTAAAAATGAATTGATCGGCTGTCTTGTTTTTAAACTTAAATGGTACTAGCGAAGGAATTTTAATGATTAAATATTAATTGATGTACTGATACGTAAAATTAATTACCGTATCAATTATTGATTCCTCCATGCATTTACTGGTTTTAGAGAAAAAAAATAAATATATTATATATGTATATAATTATATATTAATATTGAATTAGATAGAAATATAGAAAAGTGATGAATTATTAATATATTAATTGTGACGGTATAAAAAATAATTACGAGGCCGAAATTCTTACTTAAAAAAAAAAAATAAATAATATTAATTAATTTTTGCAATTTTGAGTATTCAAAAAATTGTTTTATTTTTTTTATTGTGAATTTTACAACACAATATTAATTTATAGACAATTTAACATATCATGTATTAAATTTTACCATTTTCTTTTCTGATCTCTCAACAATATTTTTTTTTTTAAATTAAAGTTATCGAAAATTATTTATAAAAAAAAATAAAAAACGTAAAAAAAAAATTGTCTGATTTTCAAGCCGTCCAAAATAATAAATAACTAATTAAAGAGCACAGTTCAATTAGTGTGATTAATAATGCGTGTCTCGACCTCGTCATAACAATATTGAAAGTCTACAGAATATTATAAGTAAAAATTAAACTCTGTAACGCTAAAATTAAACATCGAGAGAGAATTCGATAGACCTCACACAATAAAAAAAAACTAATAACTTCATCATCATTCTAAAAACTAACGATGTTGATTATTTAAATAATAAATGAGTGAAAATATTTGGAGTGTTTCTTCTCTGAGAATCATAGAAAAAAAAAAAAAAAAAATTAATCTGCATTTAAATGCTATGCAGAAGCTCAAATTTTAAAAAATTTTATAATTACTATTGTAATCGTTAAGGAATTTAGTTGATACTTATATTTTCAACGAATTAAATCCATTTGTAACGCCATAAGTTTTAATACGTCCGATTACAATAGTCAAAAAAAAAAAAAAAAAAATACTATCATATTAATTAGTAACTTATTAAAATTAATTGAAAATAAATTGTGTAACAATCATAAAAATTAATCTGTTTTTTCATGGCATATTTAGATTAAATTCCGCAATTATAAAATAGATGCACATTTGTAATAAAATTTCATTTATTTATTAACATAATTAACAGATTACATGTTAAATATTTTTTCACTTATATTAGAAACAAAAAAAAAAAAAAAAAAACTAAGTATAAAAATATACCTGTACTGTTGATTAAAGTACTGCAAATATAAAAAAAAAAAAATTACTAATCAGTTACAGAAATATTTGGCACGAGATTCATAATTTAGATTTAATTAATAAAGGAATTAGATAAAATAAATTGATAAAAAAAAAGGAAGATACAAATATATCTTTTTTCTTAAAGACAATGCAATGGATTCTCACAGCCTCGCTTACCACATTTTTTTTATTTTACAATAATTTTATACTTGACTTTCAGGCAATTGATAATAAATCGAATTAATAAAATATATAAACATGTATATGTGTATAAGTAAATAGTTTATAATAATTTTAAAAACAATAAAACTTTAAAAACATTTTCTAACAATTTGTTTGTACGACGCACGTAATTTAACATATAAATATATATGTAATATTTTACGATATGATTTATTTACGAATCTAAAAATTACTTTTTTTTTTTTTTTAATTAATTAATTATTATTGTTACTCAATAAAATGATTGCATTAAATGTACGAATAAATGTGCAATTATTAAGAGGTACTGTATTTATAAATGCCACCAAAATTTTTTTTAATGGAATAGAGAACTAATATATAGATTTATTTAAAAAAAAAATGCATTATTATTACTACTATGATAATTAGTCAACTATTTTTTCCATTCTATACGTAATTAACAATTAAATGTAACGTACACTGAATAAGTAATTAATTATTAACGAATGGTCTCGACAATTATTACGGTGATATGAATTTTAAATTGAAAATACCCTCATTAAATAATTCACCGGCACGCGTAATCTGTTTAGTATTTTAAAGTGATCCTGACCGTGTCGGCTCCTATAAAAAATATCTCCAGGATATTGATTTTAAATATATATCTATATATCTATATCTATAAGATTGTAAATAAAAAAAAATATTATTTGAACAACGGACTATTACTTTAAGAAGGGGCGCCGTGGATGTACGCCGATGCTGAATTCAAAAGACCCAGTCGCTGCTTTTGCTTCCGCTGTTCGGTCATCTGGTATTAAGAGGGTTAAATAGTAAATTATAAATTTTAGTGTTTTATTGGAAGGCAATAAATTAGGGTGATAAATTACCTGATCGCGGAGCTCAGTAAGTTGCTGAGACAGACATTTAACTAGTTGCTGAGTTGACTCCAACTGGGATTGTAAGCTGCGTAATTCTACTTGCTCACCTTCGCCCTCGTCTGCTGCTAGCGACTTGGCTCTCAATCGTGGAAACCATTCAAGATTGCGGTCCTGTTAATTTAAGAAAAAAATTTCGTCAAAAAAAAAATTTTTTTTTTCATTTTAAAATATCAGATAATTAGCGTCAAGATTTTTGTCTGGATTTAGAAATAATGGTTAATAATTGGTAAAGTCAAATTTTTGATATTACGAAGGAAATATTGGTCGTATAAAAAATTTTTTAATAAAAATTGTTCAAAATTTAATTTTATATAAATAAATGTCTTTTAAAACCATTAAAAAAATTATGATAGATTTTTAGTAAAAAAAAATTAAATTTCCGGCAAAAATCTTAAGCCTAAAGATAATAACATAAAAAAAAATTACCTTAACCATTGCATAAACATAAGATTCAGGTCCCGTAAATTCAGTCGGATCTTTAACCTTGACCAGGACAATAAAGTATAGAAAGTGCCACATATTATGTTCATGCTTGATATGTTCCTCAAAGGAAACAGTTTTATTATCAAAGGCGGATCGATTGAGCCCGCAAATAAAGCAAGTATTCTTCAAGATCAATTCTTTCTGCTGCTTCTCCGATCTGAGATCAGCAAAGGTGTCAATGATAACACCAAAAATAAGATTCAACACAATAATAATAACAATAAAGAAGAATAGCAGATCATAAACAACGCGTGCAACAAACAACGGCTCGGTGCTGGATGGAGCGCGCAATATATCACCAATCCCACCTCCATTCCTCAGCCCTTGATTCATAGTAGTAACAATACACATCACCAACGAATCGCAGGCCCGTTCTTTCATTTCACCGCCAACGCTTACTATTTCAGCGGCTTTGTTTTTCAAATTTTCTCGCTTCAAGTAACTTGATATCCCCTCGTCAGCCTCACAGTTTTCGAATTCTTTGGCGTCACATGCCTCAATGGGATCGCTGTTCTCCGTGGGAGCGGACACGATCTCGTCGTCTACGCTTACAAGAAAGTCGTCCTTGAAAAACATGTATCCTATTATCGAGAACATGTAAACTAGAATCAGCGCAAGGACTGCCGTTAAAATAATGGATCTCCCGTTTCTGGTGACAGAGCGTATCACATTTAAGAGAGTCTCTTCTCGATAGACCACATCAAATAGCAAAACCGAGTAGAAAAACGGGTGCATAAATATCCCCAACAAGCAGAAGAATAAATAAGACGTGTGGTACCAAAGCTCGACGTCTGTAATAATTTGCTCAGGACTTTTAGTGAGTGTCCCTTGATTCCCGATGATGCTGATCATATGGACAATTTTTAGCACTATCGTCAAGAATCCCAGCAGCCAGAGCGTCGGCTCGGGACCTATGGAGAATATCAGCCTGAGTATTGTCGAAGCGACCAGAGTCCTAATCCCCGATTCTCTGGGCAGGGTCACAACTATTGCCCCAGAGGCGAGCATCACCGCCCAGATCAAGCTGGACAGGTGTGGAATGATCAACTTAGGCACCGCGTCGACAAACGGGTAGAAAAACGCCACAATTAAATTAATCAACACCGCGCAGTTGAATAAAATATTGCTCCAGAGCGACATGTAGCTGCTCATCCAAAAGAGCATCGGCTGGCCGCGCAATTTCTTCTGCCACTTCATTTCATTGAACATGTCCTCGGTGCGCTCAAAAAAATCAGACACCTTGGAGCCCTGGTCGTCTCTCTCCGCGGTGTGAAGCACTCTTAACTTAGTATCAACTGTTATCAGCTCGCAGATCTCCGGAATTGGAAAGACAATTTGCTCTAAAGTCCTGTCGTGTCTGACGATTTCAATTTGAGCTGTGTGAGTGACGTAGTACTGCAGAGCCTTGTTAATTTTTTCATCAGCAGTATTAGACTCGGACGGCCTGAGCATGGAAGCTAACTCTTTATTGTGTTGAGCTAATTGATGACACAGGATGTAGATATTGTGACCGACCTCTTTGGGTGCTACACCATCTTCTCCGCTGTTGGACGAGTCGTCGAGGTCGTTGTCGTCATCCAGGGTGTCTTGGTGAAAAGCCCGACACGCGACGTCCACCAGTTGCTTCGGGTTCATGTTATAGAGTATTCTTTCGGCGTTTTCGGAGTCACCTCGGCTCTCCATAATAGCCAGCAACAATTTACTGGCATTATTTTTCAATTCTAGTATCAAATCCATCCTTGTTTTCCCTAATGGGTTTATGTCGTTCAATATTAACGCAGTTATTATGTCTAATCCGTTTGACTCGTGAGTGGCTATACAATTTTGATTATCATGACACGGACCTTGACAATATTCCGTGAGAGTTTCAAGAGTTTGATTTATTAATGCGACATTGTGTTCA